AACTTGTTTGGTGTTCATGATATTAAAACTATTTTGATTGTATTTTGTTATTGTGATAGTGCTAGAAAATTCATTTTTCCTGTATTGTTTTGATTGGATTATATTAAAATAAATCAAAGCATGAGTTAGGATAATTAGATTTAAATTTTATGATTATGGATATTGTTTGCATGCTCAATAAAATTTTTGTTTGCAATCTATCCATATTAGAAAATTTCTACTATAGTGATTTATGAAAATTGTTTCTCACTCTAAGGATATATTTAGCTACAAAAATTGAAAATTTTATCCAATTTTAATGTTTTTCTTACTATTTTTGTAAAATTTAAGTGCCTAAAACTCAATTAACATTTTTTTTCTATGAAAACCCATATGAGAAATGCATAAAAAACCAATAAAACAAGATCAATTGGGAAAATTCTTAGATCAATAAAACTTCATATTCAACCCGTTTATGTTTTCTTTATATTCAGCCATCTAAATCAATGTTTTATGAAATTAAATGCTTTTGTTTAACTTCACAACACATAAGAAACATGATTCAAGAATCAATTTCTGATGAAGCATATCAAATGCCAAAGTTTCAATCAAATTCTTAAAGTTGAACTAAAACTTGAACCCAAATCTTTCAACCTCGATTTCTTTATTTATAGGTCAAATTAAGAAAATGATTTATATATGGTTTTAATCCTCTTACAAGAAAGAACAAAAAACCCAAATCAATTTTTTTAAAAAATTAAAAAATAGGATTATGGCTACCATAAATTTTCACCCACACAAGCAAATCAAGCAAAAATAAATTTTGAAACATGATTTTAGGGTCCTAATATCATATAGCAAAGCTTTGATATCACATGAAAGGAATGTACCTAAGACGTGATAATCAGGACACCATAAATATACAAAAAGAATAAACATACCTATTTAGGTAGTCATATATCTAGAAGCAAAAATAGTTTTGGAGTGGCTAGGTCTTTCAATTCATTCTTTGCTTACTTGTGGCTCTCAATGGATAATAACCGCATGATTGAAGGGAAAAGGGAAACCTTAGCTTATTATCATTAAAAACACTAGAAGTCTCCTCATTAAAAGCTTACTGGGTAAAAAAATTTATACAATTGCTAAATCACACTTAGTATGACATGTAAAAACCCATACATAAACAATCACTTTAAATTATTTGGGCTACCAAGCTTGTCTCCGATTAGAACTAAACTTATCAACTAGTTTCATTAAATTATTAAAAATCACAAATTAATAGCAGTTCATTTGCAGAAAATTCTAACATTTGTTACATGCATTCTTTTCTGTTCTTTTCATACACTTTTTTAATAAACACTTTACATTTGGTTACATTTTTTTCCTTCCTTTTTCTTTTTGGTACATGACTTATTTCCATCAATTAAGCACTTTAAATTGATTATATTCCTTTTTTTGTTGTACACATTCTTTTTATTTTTTATTTTACCGTAAGCATTTTATATTTGGTGAGCTTTGGTATGAGGTTTGACATAGAAATATACAAAGCCAGTGGCTATCAGATACGTTTGACAAATCACTTTGATGGAACACTCCAAAACTAGCCCTTCGCCTTCAGACCAAGAAATTGAGGAATTACTTCTTTCCCTGCCGAAAGAGCAAGGATGGTTAGCTGGTGGCCTATTTCTCTACAACGGCTGTTGGTATCCATCCAAGATTCTTCGTAACATTATCACCTTTCAACGACATTTCCAAGCTGAAGATCATGATATTATCCTTGCCTCTAGGCCAAAATCAGTACAACTTGGTTAAGGCTCTGATATTCTCCATTGTCAATCGTTCTCGTTACACAAATTATTCAACCAGTCCATTGCTTATTACAAATCCTTTCGAA